CTCGCTTGTGGATTTTGGCACGATCTCGGTATTCTTTCGATACCACAAAATCACCAACAAATACATCTTATTACAACCTTCAACTGCCTTCTGATATTTGGCCTTCGGATGAGTCTAATCTAGCAACTGGCACGAAGTTTTCCTGTAGTGGTGATCATGGTCAACCTCAACTCGACGCTTACTACAGTAAATTAAAGATAGGTGACGCTTCAAAACTCATCAAAAATAAACTAATGAGAGGAATACTAAAATGCATTCTTGATCAAACCCAGTGTAAGGCCAGTGAGATGTCACTGAGCCATAGCCAGATCATCCTGCAGTTGCGTCAGTGAATATCGAACAGTTCATCGGTCCTCGTTAAGGTCAAGCACAATCAACGCACATCAATTAACTGTACACCATAGACTGATCCATGCAGTAGTGGTCACACTTTCGCTTGTACCTACGCTAACTAATATATTTCTGTAATAATGTTCTTTGTGTTGCACGGTCTTCAAAGCAAAAATAGTACCTTGGTACGACTGAAGGGTAAGCCTCGTTAGGTAATGACCGCGAGGTGTGACTTTGAAGCTAGCTGCTGGTTACACTATTCCCGTCTAACTCTAGTAGGCCCCCAGTCATTCGACATAGATCATGTATGTTAGTGTTCTACAATAGAATAGTGTAAACCTCAATGAATTGTCCGACTAATCCAATTGATTTCTAAAATATTTATGGTTAATTTCATACAGTGTACTGTGCATATACAGAAAAGTCTGTTTCTTTGTATGGAACAAAGATAAGTAATATGTATATTGTGAGATACCATAAAAGGATGACTCGTTTTTCAAGATTATTTTCCTTATATAGACGAGTTACCCAGTGTCATCAAATGAAGAAAATGATAACTACTCTGCTGGTATGAAGATATATCAATGCGCAGGTGATGATTTGAATAACCTTCAAACTATTTAACTAATGTGAGATATGAATAGTTCTTACAAACACAGTGATATATTTTCAGATATCCTTTGCAAGTAGAATTGGAATTGTTTTCGGTGTGATTAAACACATTATTTCTTAATTCTTGTCAACCATCACTTAGATGTCATCACAGAAACTAATTTGAGATTTCACTAGATTATAGCAGTTTATCATGATTTCATTTGATCCACTCCGCCTAGGTGGTTCATTTTATCAAACGTGTCGTTTTGACTTTACCCGGTATCCTATAATCTTCTTTGCACCTCTGTATTCACGTGAATATTTAAGTAATTATTTCCATATGTGTGTCTGTCATACTGAGTCGCTAAACCAAAGTGTAAGCAGCTCTGCCTTCTCTGCTTATTGCCTCTTGTTGTCTGCTTGCATCAACTAACTTTGGATATGGAGATGCCACAGATATTTGTAGTTTAACAATACTTTGACCAGAAACAACTTCTTTAATCGAATCATGCCCACCCAGTGGAATTGTAGTGTAGTGCTTCGTTAATCGATCGTCTTGATAACCGTTATTATAACAATCTGAACGGTATATAATATCAGAAGACAAAGGGAAGTGGCAACTACCTTTTTATTGACAAATATAATAGGCTAGAAGGCAGTAAGCACATGAGTAACTGTTAGCGAGCGAAGAAAAAATAACATACATGGGAGATGGCTGGTAAGCTAACTCGTTATAAGCAAGCATTAATCAACATTTATAGTCAGACTAAAATGAATGACAGACATGTGATAGGTAGGATAAGAAGGGTGCATACACATGCGCTCATATAAAAAAATAGTCAAGGTCAATAAGCGAATAATTAACAAGATCAAAATATGACTCATAACGTTATAGGTGAATTGGCTTGTCCAGAAACTAGAATAAGCTATGTAGGTGTAATATAGTACACGACGTTACACTACTCCCCACAGAATCAAAAGTCAGGAGCGAGGAGGTTCAAATATATATTTGATAAGTTATCGATATATCGAGGAGTGACTGTTCTAAACTGACTAGCGATTGCGGTAGCTGAGCGAGGCTTTTCTAATCATCACCTGGTGTGGATGCGTATCCGAGCGCCTTCAGCTAGGTGGTCAGCATTAAACGTCCAAGACTTACAAAGATATTGATTTTGGTTTTTTTTATTGCTACAGACATATACAACTCCTCCTGTAGCCCTTCTAGAGTTACTGCTGATCCCAAGCGCAGCTAAAAGAGGAGGGTTGGGCATAGGGTCAACAATCCCATCCCGTAGAGAACAACCTTGCTAAAGAACGCCAACCAGAATAGACAATTTAAACCATTTAAATACTACCCTGGAATTTGAAGGAAGAACAATCACGCATCATGATAAAAACCGAGATTCTTCGGCCAATGACCGTTCTAACAATCATAACAACAATTTTATAGGTATATTGAACGTCTGGACAATGTAGGAGATCTAGAGTACCAACTAAATAGCTGAGGAAATGAGGAGGCACAACATGGTGGTTCTCGGAATCAGTGACAATCATTGGACTCAAGCTAGACACTAAAGGTTAAGTACGGGGGACATGCTGCTGTACTCCGGTCACGAAGAGGAAAATGCTCTACACACTCAGGAAGATGTTCTAATGGTGTTCAAAGAAGCACGAAATGCGTTTATAGGATGGAAGTCTCAAAGACCAGGATCATCAAAGCCTCCTTCAAAACAAAAGGAGGGAATCACAATGAATGTTACCCAATGTTATGTACCCACCAATGATAGCAATGAGGACGATGAAGATCAGTTTTATGAGAGACTAAAATCGATCATGGTGAAGTGCCCAGGAAAGGACCTAACAATTCTGATGGGAGATGCAAACGTCAAAGTCGGAATTGAAAAACAACTGTTATAAAGATATCATTGGACGACATAGACTAGGAGAAGAGAATGAAAATGTTGAGAGCTTCTCAGATGTATGTGCATTAAACAAACTGGTTATAGGTGCTACAATATTTGTACACAAGTGCATACACAAAGATATATGGATCTCGCCGAACCACGCCACAGAGAAGCAGATAGATCATATTTGCATCAATAAAAAAACCTGAAGGACAATTATAAATGTGAGAACCTCAAGAGGAGCTGACATAGCTTCAGATCACCACCTGGTTCTTACCAAATTGAAACTGAAGCTAAAGAGACCTTGGACAACTGAACAAGTAGCATTACGAAGGGTCAACACATCCTTCCTTCGAGATAATGACAAACTCAACGAATTCGTGATAACTCTCAACAACAGGTTTTGAGCCTTACAGGTCTACTGAAAGAACAAGAAACTACAATGGAGGACAACTGGATTTGGATCAAAGAAGCATTAACTTCAACGTGTCAGGAGGTTCTAGGTTCTAAGAATCATCATCATAAGGAATGGATCTCTATGGGAACCCTGGAGAAGATCCAAGAAAGGAAGAACAAGAAAATAGTAATCAACAACAGTCGAACACGAGCAGAGATTGTCAAGATACAAGCTGAATACACAGAAAGCAAACAAGGAAGTGAAGAAGAGTATTAAAGCCGACAATCAGAAAGACATGGAAAACATAGCAACGATGGCGGAAAAAGCTGCAAGGAAAGGGAAAATGAAACAACTATGTGGTACGACGAAGAAATTGGCAGGGAGATATAGTAAACCAGAGAGACCAAACAAAGACAAAGAAGACAATCACGGAGATACAAGAACAGAGGAAAAGATAGGTAGAATACTTGGAGGAACTGCTGAATAGATCAGCTGCATTGAATCCACTGGATATCGAGGCAGCACCTAAAGACCTTCCTAAATCGGTCACTCCACCAACGACGGAAGAAATCAGGATGGCTATCGGACAAATCAAGAATGAGAAAGTAGCAGGACCTGACAATATATTAGCTGAAGCACTGATGTCAGATATTGAAGTAACTGCAATCATGCTTCACATTCTATTCAAGAAGATTTGGGAGGAAGAACAAGTGCCGACGGACTGAAAAAGGACACCTCATCACGATAGCAAAGAAAGGAAATCTGAGCAAATGTGAGAACTACAAAGGCATCAGTTTGTTGTCAGTACCAGGAAAAGTTCTCAACAGATTGTTGCCGAACCGGATGAAAGACTCACTAGACGCCCAACTTCGAGATCAACAGGTTGGATTCCGTAAGGATCGGTCGTGCACAAACTGAATCGCGACACTACGGATCATCGTGGAACAATCAATTGAATGCAACTCATCACTATCCATCAACTTTATTGACTATGACAAGGCGTTTGACAGTGTGGATAAGACAACATTATGGAAACCTCTTCGACAATATGGAGTTCCTGAGAAGGTCGTCAACATCATCCGGGACTCATACGACGGACTACAGCGCAAAGTCGTGCATGGAGGACAGCTGACAGATGCTTTTCCAGTAAGGACAAGAGTCAGACAAGAATGTCTACTCTCCCTTTCCTCTTCTGGTGCTTGACTGGGCTATGAAGATCTTGACATCTGGTGGGAAGCACGGAATGCGATTTGGATTGCACGGATGACCTAACCCTTCTATCCAATACACACCAACAAATACAGATGAACACAGCTGGTGTGGCAGCAGTCTTTGCATCAATAGGACCCAACATATACAAAAGAAAAATCATGATCCTCAAATACAACACAGAGAACACCATCACAATCACACTTGATGGATAAACTCTGAAAGGTATGCAATCTTTCACGTATCTGGGAAGCACCATCGATGAACAAGGAGGATCTGATTCAAACATAAGGGCAAGTATCCACAAACCAAAGGCCGCATTACTACAATTGAAGAACATACGGAACTCAAAATAACTGTCAACTTATATCAAAGTGAGAATCGTAATGATGTAAATGTATCATTTTAAAACATTGAAACTGTTATCGGTAAGCATAACTAGTTCGTAATGATTTATCGCCCTTGTTTGAAGCGAAAATACTTTTCGAATGGAAGGATAGCATTAGGTACTAAAGAAGTCAATGTTATTCTGGTTTTAAATTTCAATATATTAATAGGGATACTGAGTTACTTTGAGTGGTTAGAGTACAAGGTCACTTCGTGGCTGCATATCCGTGTACAGTTCAGTTGTTGTAGTTTTGAGCCGTACTAACAGTATGTTGTTTCGATGATCAGACTGTTTTAATATCACACATTTGTTACCTTCAATAAACTTTAAAATGTAAGCGTGTCTAATTTGTTTCGTGGGTTGACTTACATTGTCTATTTTCCAAATTTTAGACTCTCGGAAACGCTGTTCATACCTCGTCAAAAAACGTGTTTCACTACTATACACGAACCCACTGAAAACTAAATGTTATATGATGTGTGATTTAATTTCTACCCATAACTGCAAGTAAGTGTTCAGACCATGTTAACATAGTTACTAGGTTTTATTTCAGTGATGATCAGTCTCGCGTTAAGTGGAAGGAGTCCATAAAAAGTATCTTAGTTGTTCATAAATTTTGTGATCTCAATGTTATTGAGAGTTTGAAATCGTTCGTTCACTACGTGTTAAAGGTTCGTCCCCAGCGATTTGTTTTTATTCGATAGGTCATTTAAATTCGTAACTAAATAGCACTATTTTCTCTGGGGGACAAAAGTTTATGGACGAATTTTGAGCTATGTGACCCTGAGAATCTCCATATACTATGGTTGAATGAGGGTTACTATCGCCAATTGGCATAAGCTGTAATGCTAGAACGCAATTTAGCCATATGTATCGTTGCGTTTTGTACCAAAGTCCTAGAACTACTATCTTTAATTTGATAGGTCTGTCCATAAATTATAGTCTTTCCGTTCTCTCGAAATAAATATACTTATAACTGACTCTAAACTGTCATGGTAAAATTTTATTTAGTAGCCCGTAGCACCAACAGTCCTGCGCCTAATCAATTGGTAGGCTATTGTAGTACTTAAAAACCCTCCGAGCTGACTTGATGCATATTTTATCTGATTCGTACTGAAGAAATCTGGATTGAATACAATAGAATTATCTAGTGCCAGAAAACCTTGTAATGATAAAGGCTTCGTAGTTTTGACTTCAGTCGAAATGCTGTGGTTTTTACTCTAACGTCGGTGTCATAGACTGTTTGTGTTTAAATATAGCCTTAATTATAACTGATTGTGGTGCTCAAGCTGATTGTTTTTCACTACGTACAAACATTTGGAAGTAAATGTCCAAAAAACTGACTTACCAACGATGACTAAATCGACAACCCAGAATGGTTTAATTTTCGGTCAACGGACATGAATTACCATAATTACCGTCTTATTTCAAAAGAGTAATTATATAAACCCTATGTTTATTATATTGGTACTCTAATTTCCTGTTATTAGGATTTCTATTTAACTTCTAATGACGAAGTATAGTTTGGATTTAAAGCATGCTCGACTGTTGGACTTACTGGACACCTAGTTTGTTTTAACGTTAATTAAACACTTGTTTTCTGCTTCACAAGTAGAAATACTGCGTACGGCCAGCAGTTTCAAGTACAATCCATTCGAGACTCAAAAAACCGGAAAACTATCAATTACAGTTATTTCTTAGTAGTTATCTACAGACAGTTTTAACTTCTGACAATGAAGTAGTTATATAACCTCATTAAATTGCACACTGTATCTTCAAAATAAAGGTGGTATTTCAAAAACGCAGCATAGTTTTGAGATATATATTAGCAATGATTTTTCCAGACGGCAGTGATCATGGTCTTGGGGTTCTGCATAGTTTTATGATGGGTTATTTATTGCTAACTCTGCACTCCAAAAACGATTGTCTTGTTATAGGATATCTAGATAAATTTCTGCCTTTTTATCATTAATCATAGAAATGGGATCTGACTATCTATTTGGAGTCGATTACGTTAGATGAACTCAAGAATGATGACTTATTCTACCCAATTATCCAACAGTACGTAAATTTGGGCAACGATGAATTCAAACAAGCCACTATTGAACATGATGTTTCCGGACTTCGTGAAAATACAGCAGAAAGTTGCTCTAAAATTAATACAAGAAGCTCCGTTAAGATCTTTGATCATACTGTGCGAAACAAAATTGATTTAATTGTTTGTCTTGGTGGTGACGGGACTCTTTTACAAATTGGATCAATGTTCCAGGTATATATATGTATATAGTCATGTGTTTGAGTATTTTAACTCTTTTTAAGGACCAGATTTTGAATTCCTTGTGGTTTGTGCACAGAAAAGACTTATTGACGAATACTGTCTCTAAATAAAGCGGTTCACTAGGTAATAAGGTAATTTTAGTAATTCAAGCCTGTAAAGTAATATCAGTTTTTGGTAGTTTTAGACACTATTTGTTTAAGTACAAACATTGGTATAAAGGGGCACTAAAACACGTATACGTCACACAGTAATAATCAGATTGTGAAGAGATGGAGAAGGGAAGGTGACTATAATAAAAAGACAAAAGTAGATAGGAATTAATGTATGAGAGTGTAACAATAATGTGAGAAGCAGTTCAGTTAGGGAAAATACAATCATACAGAATCCTTTCAGGTAGAGAAATTCCTTTCATTCATTGGAAGAAAGCAAAAGAAAGTTACAGCTGGATCGCTACTGGCTTCTACTACGAGCCATGTTTGATAACGTCTCAGTCAACTGTGTCCCTCCATCTCTAGAACTCCAACCATGGAGTGAAGAACCAACAGAAGACAGTCCTGTACTGTTTTCTTTCATACTACAACTCCATGTCGTGTACTAGCCACCTGTCTGCATTTTCCAAACAGTTCCAGCGTCGGAAAATAATGTACGATGTAGAAGTCGCTGAGACGACACTCGCAGTACATTTCCAAACCACCGAAGTCATTATTTCATGTTGGTGACTGAATTATCATTGCTTTGCCTGGTCGCACATATCCAAACCTCCACACTACTAACATGGCATCGCCCTTGAATGTCACCAAACCTTCAGAGATAATGGTAATCGAAGTCAGAGAATCGTTTAACATTTTCAACTCAGAAAGGCCAGTATTCACAAGCAGTGAGCAAAACTGCTCTCACTGACCCATTATGGACCCGAAGTTTTACAACCAGGTTAACATCACAAAGACTCCAAAGATGACTCAGTTTGGCATACACCACTCTGGTTTTTACCATACATTAATTGATCTCATCACGCACGCCACCACCAGCACTTACACAGCTACCCATATACACGAACTTTTCGACTACTTCTAACTGCTCACTACAAAGAGCTAGTGTAGCCACAGGTTTCTCGCAGTCTTGTAAAGGTGCTTCACAATTCGGTGAAAAACACATATTATATCTACAGACAATAGTTGCCGATTGATTAATTGCGAATTGCGTGGTTTGCGTATCATCGCACAGTAGGACAACATCATCCTCACAGTGATCAAAAAGGTTTTCTCCAGGCAACGGATCCCGCCTCCAAATGCCCTGGTACGGCCGAGAGTGGGGAGAGTTCGCTCTCCCTCTCGAAATGCTTTCACATGACCACGCGAATATATAGCCTCTACCAGGGAAGTCCTACTCACTGCCTTCTCGTGGCATTATTGTTGTTTGCGAAAGTGAGAGGACGAAAAGCGAATGTTCGGCGCTTTAACAGGGTTGGTGGACACGGAGGGTCCACCTAGGGGAGTTGGAAAACCCTGATTCCAAACCAATGGTGCACATGCGCTCCAGTATCCTGAGGGAACATATGGCGTATGAATCAATCGTTGGTCACCGGCTACCATGGGACTACATCTCCTCACGATGCTCCACTGCCTTGTGGATCAGACTTTTAGGTCAAAGGCTTGGGGTGTGGCCCCCTAAGAAAACCACCTGCTTCAGTCTGGGCACCTGGGCAGTATCACAGCCCTCACACAAATTGAATGAGATTTGTGAGGCGCATACTTATCTGGTGCTTTTTGTACCAATATTTATGTGTTTAAATAATAATAATAATAATACCACCATTACTTACATCCATCAGAGCTGTTTCGAAAATTTCACTGATAGCGAAGTTGCATAGGAACGGTGAGATTGAGCAACCTCGTCTAGCCCTACTGTTTGGGTGGAACCCTTTTTAAGGATAGGGACAACTATCGACTTGTTCCGGAGTGTTGAGACACTCTGATTACCAGACATTTGCAAACAACTTAGGTAGATAACCAGAAGGTCACCACCATCCTTAAAAAGGGAATGAGATCATTTAGACCTGGTGATTTGTGACTTTAAACAATGTTAATGTACATTCTGGAACATCTGGAAAGTATTGTTACCTTTCCGGACCTTGACTTAAAATTGTTAGATACTGACTGCAACACAAATCTAGATTCTGGTGCATATTTTGTCTTAATATGTAGCCTTTGCGCTTATATTTAGTAAGCCTAATGCTTCATGTAATAATTTTTTATCATAAGCAAAATCAACAACACTAGAATATTAAAAAATATTCTCATACAACCACCCATTTCACCGTTTACATTTATTTACAATTAGTAGTAAGGTGGGCAGAAAGGTTTTGTCGAATTTTTGATTGAGTACTAAATTGCGATCTATGTACCTCATATGTTTATATCTTTACGAGTAATACGACGACGAAACTTAAGGTGTTAACAAGTCTGCAACTAAATACAAAACCATAGTATTTCGTGCTAAACATTTTTTAGGCAGTTTAATCAAAAACTTATATATATGCATTTCGGTTTTTGTCCCTCCTAATCATGTAGGGAATTACTCCACCCGTAATCGCTTTCCGTTTGGGCACACTTGGATTTTTGACTCCGTTTCCTTTCAAGATGTTTAGAAACCAAATGAAGAGTGTTCTTGAAGGTTAGCTAATATTTATGATAATTTGGTCAATAAATCCTAAATAATTTGTAATGTATTTCACTGTATACAGTTGTTAGTTGTGACAGTATCTATCAGGTGAATATCACCACATCCATACTTTGTTGTTCTCTGCTCTTCATCGATTTAAGTATGTTGTGAACTTATATTTATCCAGTCAGTTCACAGGGGGTCTTAGAATCCTCTGTCTTTTATCACTTAATATGACTCCAGTTGTCAACTTAACACTTTCCTTCGGAAAAGACTGTCTGATGCCGACTAAACGTAAACCGTTGTAACAATTTCTATTAGTTGCACATGCTGATGTATTTAAACTTTTCTACCAATCGCCTTTATACAGCTAGTGGTGTTCTAGAGTAAATAAATATCATCGTGTTTAATCCATTAGTAATTCTTTTTTTTAAACAAGTCCGATCAGTGATTTTCCACATAAAAGTTGAATAATTTCATCAAAGACTCACTGTATTGTTACAAAATGGAACCATTTAACTGACATAAGCGTTTTGACCCTACGTTAACCATATTAAAAATTGAATAATTCACTGGGAACGACCATAAAGGTCAGAGTTTGTTTTAACACGCATCCAATTTAATCACGAGACGTCTTCTACAACAAGTGGTTGATCCAAGCAAATTGGTAGACGTTAACTAATGTACTAAAAATGATGTTATGTCTTTCATGTATAGGCGAAGAACAATGCGATAGTGCGTGTTCCATGTATTGTATTGTACCAAGTTATTTTACCGTTCTTTTGATTCCAATTGAAGTTATCAAGTCCAAACGAAGTATTGATATTCGTTTCATTGTTATCTGATTCCAATTATTGTAGACAAATGTTTATCTGCATGTCCAAATATTTCGTTGCACTCCCAGTTATATTCGATATCGGTCCGCGATTTATAATCACTCTCACAAAATATATTAATAACTGAGCTAATTACAGTTTTCGGATACGCAAATGTCTCGTATGTAACAATTTTTTGTAATACTCCATTAAGTGTTATGTAATTTCTTGTTACCTAACACCACTAAATTGAATGCCAATATAAGATGTGTCATTGCTGAATATGCTAGCCACTTGTCATACTGAATTGATCACTTGTAACATGGATTGACCAATAATTACATTTTATACCAACAGAAAAAGCACTTGTTGTACATGTAAACCTCAGTGATTCATGGCATTAGTGAGATTTCTTTCCGTCTACAAAGTTTTATTCGCATTATAAAAGTCCGGTTCAATTTGACATTATTACGCATTAAATATTTTGCGAACATATAACAAAAGCATTACAATAAACTTTTAAGTTTTTGTAGTATGTGTTAAGGTTACAAGGTGAAGTGTGTCATGCTAGTTGATTGCGATAGTTTGACTTATGAGTTACTTAAACTGAAACGGATATTATACATTTTGAGAGTAATTTTATATTTTGTGCCTTAAAAAATACCGTCTGATGCAGAGGATGTCTATGGAAAAAGATTTGAAAACACTTCATGTATATTATCCAGAAACCTGATTTTTAAAAATCCTTATTTCATAAGTGTGTATGAGTTGTTAGGATGTAATCTTTCAGAGAGAGTCAGGATGTAATCTTTCAGGGAGAGTCACCTCTCCCTCTCGAAATACTCTCATATGGCCAGCGAATATATAGCCTCTGCCAGGGAAGTCCTACTCACTGCCTTCTCGTGGCGGGGGTGTTGTTTACGAAAGTGAGAGGACGAAAAGCGAATGTTCGGCGCTTTAACAGGGTTGGTGGACACGGAGGGTCCACCTAGGGGAGTTGGAAAACCCTGATTCCAAACCAATGGTGCACATGCGCTCCAGTATCCTGAGGGAACATATGGCGTATGAATCAATCGTTGGTCACCGGCTACCATGGGACTACATCTCCTCACGATGCTCCACTGCCTTGTGGATCAGACTTTTAGGTCAAAGGCTTGGGGTGTGGCCCCCTAAGAAAACCACCTGCTTCAGTCTGGGCACCTGGGCAGTATCACAGCCCTCACACAAATTGAATGAGATTTGTGAGGCGCATATTTATCTGGTGCTTCATTGTACCAATATTTATGTGTTTAAATAAATAATCTTTCAGATAATTGGTTACCTAATTTCGGAAGACTTACAATTATCTCTATTAACTGTCCATTCGTCTACCATTCTTTTGACACAGAACTACACTCTACTCCCCCTAAATCAAAACAAAAATAAAAAGACAAGATAAATCTTAAATAGTAGGGAAAACAGAAGGTAAAGTAGTAAAAGTATAAGGACGTTGATAGATCTGATTGAACGCTTGAATCGGTTTCCTAAGCTCTCCTAATAACTTCAGGTTAATTCTAGACGATACGAGAGAAAAGGCGCGAAATGTGGGAAGAACGCTTTACTCCAAGGCTAGTCTATATACAGAAAATTGAGGGTATTTATTGCACTTCAGATAGCCTTGGGTTTATGGAACCCTGATAAACATAGTAGCAGGATAAGTAATCATCCAATCAGAAACGCGATACGTGGCTCTTCACTTTCTAGATGTTTCTGAAAAGCTTCTGTTCAATGCTGATTGGATAAAATGTTTCCAAGCGTTTTCGGGGCCCCTCTAGGTTTTTTTCGAGGAATACTCTGTATCTCCCCAACAGGTGCTTATAAAATCCACAGAAGAATCTATTTTACTCCCAATTTACCCACTAGTACTGATCACCTAGCGTCCTGTGATTTGAGTTTGCACTCATTATGCACTTGTCAGAATTCTATCCTGCTAACAAACTCTCATATTTTATTACTTCGACTTGTATCCCATTCAGGTTCATCTTATTGTGTATTACGAACTCGGCTTTGTTGTCAAGTTATTCGTAGTAGTGTTATGAATCATAATAGCAATAATAATTTCGACATCCAAAATACCTCAACTACCAGTAGTTGTAGTAGTGAGAATCAACCTCAAGCATCTAACTATTCTAACGATATTGGTTCACGTTCCAGTACACCAGATACTGAATATCATGTGAGTATTCTCTTTTATTTTTCTGATAATTATGCTTAAATTGAACAGAATTTGCCCTTCTACTGTTACTGTTTATCATGACGATTTAGTTAATGTATTTATTTTTAAGAGTATTTTATAGATCATTTTACAATTTCTGAAACAAAATCATGCTACGTAAGAACTATAAGAAGTAATTTCCTACAGATTTAATTCTAAGCTATTCTCTAGACAATCTAACACAGAGTTTTAGTTTAGCCAAAGTCAGAACAAGTAAGCTACTTGGCTTGATAAACCTTATCTGTTTCGAACAACAACTAGAGCATATGAAATTTGAGTCAACAAACCGGATATTATTTTATGATAATCGTAAAATTGGGATTGGTGAATAAGCAAGGCATAGTCATACAAGGTCAAAATGAGTTAACGTGGTGGTAGGCTTTTCATGTTATGATTGGTGGGTTTGTTTATCGATCACACTTTACAAGAACTTTTGTCTAAATTTGAACGGATAGTTTCACATTAGTTAATGTAAGACCCTAAAGTGGAAAAATATATTTGTGAAATTTCAGCGATTGAATTTTAAGTAAATCCAACGTTTCGCTCGGCAATCTAGTTCAAGTTTTTTTCAAAAAAATATAGTCAAACATCAAAATTATCAAATATAAATAGGTACATGACTCTCTCGTTAACTGTATACTAAACAGGTCATGTTGAAAGTAAAAAGTTTCTGTGGTACGTATGAGACATCTGATGTGTAAAGAAAAGTGTGTTAAGACAGCAGATTGTATATATTTGCGAATGGATCTGAGGTCCGAGAAGAAACTCCATTGACTATATATCACATCTTATCAGTGAATTTTCGATAAAAAAACACAATTTTTATAGATGATATGAGTCAAACATGTCACAGAATGTATAAAATGAATAATAAATGTTTATGATTATTGATATTATATTCAGTTACGCTGATAGGATTGACTTTCCGAAGAAGAGACTAAAAGAACTAATGTTGTTTTTAAGAAAAAAATTTCTGGAGTCATTTTTAATGGAAAGGATTGTCGACAAACTTTTGAAGTTATACAATCTCCAAATGAAACGTAACAGGGTGGATTTCTTTACATTAATTCATTCAGTATAAATTCTGTTCATGGACTTCCAATGCATTTTTGACTATCATTTATGTCCATAGACAGCTACTCACTTCTTACATTGTAATCACTGTAATCGGTACATAACTAATTCTCTTAAATCCATTCTGAATTGTAAGGGGTATTGATCAACAAAGCTTTTATACAACAACTGAACTTTTTACTCTAGTTAGCGGGTTAAGTAAAAATACGATAACAGCTGTATTTAAAGCTAGAGTTGCGAAATCCTAGCTTATCGCATAAATAGAAGGTGTAGCCACAACCAGTTCACTAGCCCCGATGTTTTTCTACACAACTACGAAATCTCAAACTAAAAGATGTGATTGGACAAAGTCGTTGTATTTGACGTATTTTAATGATACTTTTATCATATATGGTAACATAGACCACGCTGATCAGTTACTAAGATGTTTCAATTCGCCCCATCCAAATTTAAAACGCAGTTGAGAATGCGAACTACAAGATAGAATAAATTTCTTCGACTTAATCATAACAAAAAATGAAGACTGTTTGGTTTCATGTTTTATCTACCATATGACTTCCTTCATGAAGTAATATTCTCATTTTGGCGGCTTTGTCCAACGTCGAATAGAAGAAGTATTGTCAAAATATTGTTTTTGAAGGTAACAGCCGAACTACGTCCCAGAGATTCACTTAACAGTAAAGCGGGAATTATTAAAAAACCCTTAATCATTAATTATTTCCTAAAGTTTATAAATAATCACTTTAAGTCGACAAAGAAAATGCTACAACAAGCTACTATTCCCAAAAAGAATGTATTTGTTAAGTTGTCATTAAAAAAGAACAATCTCAGGGTGCAGAATAGGCCTCATCTAGGTTGATGTCAGCATTTCACTAACCTTTTCTGTTTCCACACTAAATGACCTCATATTACACAAAAAGCCTACTCAGGGAAACGAACTTTTATAAAAGATTTGCAGTTGCCTCTAGTTATAATTGTCTACTTACCTGTATCTAGAAATACGTGTACTTTGAAACAACAGAGAGAGAGAGAGTATCATCTAAAAGAATCTCAGAACATATACCGAAGAATATGATCCTAAATGGCCTCAAATTACGAAGCCGTGTCATAGGAAGAGACATGTAACGTATACAAGTCATTGAGTAAATCTTAACACTACTTTCCTACTGATAAATAAGCAAGATAATCTCGAATTCCTACGTTATTTTATCTGTACAAATCAGTGCATATTCGGGAGTTTCAGAGGACACAAAATTGAATTGTATTCACTTTATCTCGTTGTGCTTATTATTCTTATTTTATAAAATATATTTCCTTTATTATGAAACTATTTCTTGATTTTAGTGTGACTTCGTATTAGCCTTGTAAAAGTTATTTGGTGTGTTCAATAAAATTATGTTGTCACTGAATATTCTCTCATCTAGTCAATCAAACAATCATGACTTAAATTTCTTATAGAAACAATTATAAATCTAATTAGGTTGTTTATTAGCAGGACATAGATTAGATTAAAACATGTTCCATGGAGGATTGTGTTGAGACACGCTAATTGGTCACTTCTTGGAGAAGACTGTAGAATCTCCTTGTATAAAAAGTATAAATAAACTAACGTTTTTTTCTCACAGTGATTCATACTTTCATTCAACTTTTGTTTATTTAGGATATAATTACGTTCCCGTTCAACCGTGTTCTGATTTAGGGACTTGTCGATTGAATTAGTGTCCAAAGAATACTAAGCAATAAGAGTATCTGGGTCGCAGTAAGGAAAATCATAACATAGTTCGAATCACACGTTTCATAATTTTAATTGTTACACTTCGTATATGTCAATTTACATTACTATTAAATTCATACGTCTTGGTAGATCGTTTTGAATTGTTTATCAGAAGCACATTGTTTTTGTTATTCGTATTTCCTTTGACTTACGAAGAGGGTATTGAATCACATATGTACAGTTGAATTAAAATAACTGATAATCGTTAGTTGCGAGGCTCTTTGATCGAGAATTTTACCGTCTGATTCTTTCTTTCTCTTCAATGCTTTCCCTTAATGTTGTATTGATACGTACGAACAATTCTAACCTTTATTATACCAGGTATGTAGTCATAACTTTAATCAAGTTGATGATTATATCTTCTACATATTTGTGTATTATTTTCTCCTCTTCTCGTTCCCTATCTTAATTTATCTCGATTAGCCGTCTTCATCATCCATTCTGAATTCAGTGCTCTAAGGTTTTATCCATTGCATATAGTCTTCCTCCGTCATCAGTTATTTGCCATTTATCAACAGCGTACTATATACGATTCATCTTGTCGTAGTTTGTTCTTCTCCTGCTTTGACGTCTAACAGCTTGTTAACTTAGACTGATGAACTCTTTTAAGAGATTCCTCGTTGTGTCTATGTCCCTGTAGAAGATACGGTAAAAATTTCCTCCTTTCATATGCTTTCTTCATTTGCGAAAATTCTTTTTGGACTCCCCCCAACGTTTCCAATGTGCAATACTTCGGTCATTCTCAACACTTCTGGTCACTTTTTCATCCGTTTAGTAGTCTAGTGTTAGATCTTAGCGTAATTTTTTACTGAAAACTTCATTTCAAGCCTTAGTTTTTACTATATTTGTATTTTCTTTTCGGCCTGTCTCCTTCACTATATTGATACGTTCGTGGCAAACATTTGCGGATAACTCCAACCTGTCAAAATAAAATCTTCACTGCAAATTACCTTCTAATGATCTGTACTCACCCACTAAATGAGCCGAAAAATAATTAAAAATGATGCACTTACGAAGCATTTAAAACGTTGCAAAGAAAATCACCCGAGAATTTTAACAAAATCAAATTCGCGCTTAAATTAAACAAGTAAAAACAGGTAAAATAAAATTCAAGGGCTTAAATAAAAACATACTATTCATTCTAATTAGGGCTGTACTAACCATACGGTATATTTATATGACAAGATGTAAATTTATCCATTGTATATGAAATTTTTATCTTTTAAAATTGAATGTAGATTGTCTTATTAGTAGTATTTGTCCTCACATTTTAAATCACCATGCAGTTGACTGTTTTCACTACTGAACTTTCGTATATTTGTTATTATTTTCGTAAAACATATTATTATGTTTTCTTTGTATCATAGTTCCTAAATGACCTAGTTATTGATCGTGGCCTTTCTCCATTTATCTGTGATCTCCTCATTAAGGTGAACGGTAGAGAAGTAACTACTGTGGAAGGCGATGGTAAGCAAACATCTAGTTTTTTATTAACGTTTGTGGATATACAATTGGAGTTATTATTCTTATTATTTCTGCTAAAACAGACTTTTATGTACCAATATGATATTATAACCTACCAAATCTCTGATTACCGAAGTTACGAATCCTGTGTGATGCAAAATGACTTTAACTACAATTTAATGATCATCGAGTATTATAGACAAATCCAATTCATACATCCTTAGGAGTTGTGGAAATTATACAAAGTTATTTTGCATTCAATGACGGGATCACTTCTCTGCTTTTTTGTAGTAATATTCGAAAGTACAGTTCATTTACATCAACTATTCATCTTCATTGTTATCACTTTTTCACCGGTTTCTCTTTTCATGCGTCGTTATTTTGATTAAAGTTACATTTTTTGGAATGTTTTTAACAAATTTCCCATCATATTTATGCCATACATGAAATACTAGATAATGTCCTCAGATAATTTCTCGTGTCGAAATGTTCTGTAATTATTCATAAGCTATCTTTATAAAGCAAAGATCAAATTCAGTGATAGAGTGAAGTAGATAATTTTTAATTTACTGAATTATTTTATTCATGAGTAGTAGCATTTTTGGAATGTTCTAAAACCTCATAACAAAATCTAGGGACTGCAATGTCGTTTCTGTTGAATCCCTTGATTACTGTTATGCAAAAGTAGCATATATAAATTTTTAGGACTTTTCTCTTATCAGTTATAGTTTGTTTTTGACTTAATAATGTACATGCTTTATTAATAGAATATTTTTCTTTATTTATTTTCAAGAACAAAAGAATCTGTAGTGCAATCAAACTCGTGATTACTGTTAGTGTCAGGGAATTGTGGAGATTTTCGAATTCTGTAGTTTACATATGTTTACTAGTGATTTGTTGTAACTTAAAATAAGCTTTTTGTTTGACAATGTATAATACAATAATAATATTGTTCTAAAATACGATATACAAATAATAAACTCGTGGGACACATCAGATTGCGATGCTAAGTAATTAGACCACGATAATCGATCATGTTTTATGCACAGACACACTGTCAGATTGAAAGTAGCGAACCAATTAAATAATCAACACTAGTTTTTTTACACAAGTCCTAGCATTCCTCGTCATACAGTGAGTCAAGAGTGAAAATTGATCTGCTGGGTAAAATAATAATATATACACTTGGTACTTGTCTATCTTTGGTCACTAATTAACCACTTATTACTTTTGCTGGACGCATCTTGAATATTTTCGAAAGGGAATTCCTGAAGTTCTAAAGCTAAATTATGACCAGTGGTGTGAGACACTTATCCACCAATGGTACCAGTAGGCGATAGTGCAATGTTCCGAGTTTATTCAAGTTAGGAATGCTAATCATTGTTCTTCCAAACAGTGGTCTAAGGGTAAAGCGTTCCTTGTGAGTCTTCAAGGTCCTAGGTTCGACTCCTAGCAAGGTTGTGAGTACATAGTGTTGAGTAGTCCCATACTGGAACGAAATGGCTGTCTATTGCACCCTGGCTTTCAATATTTGGTTAAATCAAATCAGTTTACTTTGTATACTTTAAAATTCAACAATTTCCATAAACCTCAACCTAATCGCTGATTCTTCATGAACTAGTTTTAGAAAACCACAATAAGAAATCGTTTGGTTACTTTAAGTCAGTCGAAAGTGTTTTATCATATTTCATCTGACCTTGTTCCATAGATACGAAATTCAATAGGGACTCTGTGTTTTTTTAATTTTTAGCTACCTCTTGACATCAATTATACTTATTCGTTTGGTTAGTTGTGTAGATTATTTCATTTTTATATCCCATGATGAATTCTGCTGGTAAACCGTTAAAAAGTCGTAGAGTGCTGAACAACTAATTCGTCCTATCTTGTGATCCCACACTACTGCACACCCACAACCTCGTTACGAATTGAAATAAGGGTCTTTACTTTTTAAGTGTAACCCATTTACGAAGTACAGATTCGTGTAATCGGGGCTTCCAGTCATACTTTGTGTTAAAACTGTAGTGGACGAAGACTTGGTGGGGAAAATGAATTTAGTCTTTAGTGCAAAATTACAGTGTTTTCGTAAATTATAAAAACCATACATAACATACTTCATTTGCACATCTTACATCAGTTGTCCTTTACATCTTTCATGATTCTTCTAATTATCAATTCCTTTTTGTTACCCGTTCCGTCTTCAATTCAATATTTTCACTCTTCTTTTGGCCATTATTCCACTTCTGATCGGTGTTACATACTACTTATGTCTGTCGACATAAGTGCCATACAACACAAAACTAGTGATACTATCCGGTTGCCCAGGATCAAGTAGGTGGAGGAGGCAACGCTAATCTGCAACCTATTCGTTGAAAGTCAAAACGTATTAACTAGTGAATCATTGCTCCAATTTTCATAACATGATATCTTTAGACTAATGAGTTATAATCCAGTGGTCTACATTTCCAAATTCAGGATATTAAGTATCGATGAACTAGTATCAATAGAAATGATTATTGAATTTGTCTGAGAAATAATATTTTCAAAGCAATAAGAAACTCTGATTTACAGAAGATTCACATCGATTTGTTTAATAAAGTATTGTTTATCATATGAATATTCTCAAATTTCTGTGCTCATTACTTGTTGTTAAATGAAAACTTGCAATCAAGTGGATATAAAAATATTCATAACTATTTCTTTAATAGTCAACAAATCTAAATTAACTTAAGCGTTAGTTGCTTAGGCATGAGCCATACGCTAAGTGGAAAGGCCAATGACACTATCTGATTGCCCAAAACAGAGTAAGTGAAGCGGGGTTCGAACCTAAAGGTCAACTACTCACTCCACCTGTAATTCTTCTAGGGCTACTTCTGGTCCCAAGCCCGGGTAAAGGAGGAAGGTTGGGAGCGGGGTCGGCAACCTCATTCCGTAGAAAACAACCTCGCTAAGAAAACGCCAACCAGAATAAACAAATTAAAATTGAGGATTGGGGGGTGCATATAATAATTTTTATTTTTTGATGAATTTAAATTTAGCCTTCTTAGAAAATTGTCTTTTAATTGTGGTGTCATTTTCAACAAAATAATCACACTAGCTACCTCTGTCTTATTATTTATAGATTATAATAGGTGTGGTCAACAGTTTATTGCCTGTGTGTAAACCTAGATGTACACATAGTTACATAATTATATTTGCTTTCTTTTTCCTTTGATCTCAAAATATACTTTGAATTGTTCATTAAAATTTTCAAGTCTTTCCACCATACCATAGTTACTGTAATTCTAATATAGAGAAATAAATGAAACAGGTTTGCCCATTATTATTATTACTTTCTTGTGAAGATGTACTTTGTGATTAAATATGATTTTTTATTAGGTCATTCATAAACCTACCAACCAATTCGTTTTGTTTTTTTCGTAACATAAAACCCAGTGATTTCCTTAGTGTTATGGGAAAATTGTATGGATTAATTATATTATACTATTTATTCTATTGCCTTCTATCCGTTCAACTCAGTCCCACTTAATTATACTCAGATATTCGTGAATCAGTTTTAAGGAGCAAGTATTTTATATAAGATTCAACTTTTATTTTGTTAAATTGAATTAAGATCTCGTCTAGATTATTTGCTTGAATTTTAAATGTGTGTTACTAGGTCATGCAATTAGTTTGATTATGATTATAAAGGTATTTAAAAATTTAAACAGTTCAGCACAAATACCTCATACTTCAATGTTGGATAATTTTTCTTTAAGTCTCAATGAGAGTATGCGCTCTACAAGTTTCCAGTTACGCATAATCTCTTATTATTTGCAAGCATAACTTGAGAAATTTTGTGTTGAAATTCACCTGAATAATGCTGTTTATAGCACCAACAAAATATTTTTATGTCAAACAAAAGTTGAGTTTGCAATAGACTCATAAGATAACCACTAAACTTTTAATAATATGTAAATGTTGCTCTTATTTAATCATCAATGCTTTGTAAGAGTTACAGTCGTTTCATAAACCACTGAGTAGAGCAGTATTATAATTAGACATACCGTGATTACCAATGATAAATAAATCAATTAATACAGTTTATAATCTACGGTAACCAGGATGTTTACAGCACTCGACCTGTTTCAATGTAGTTTGTTAACTAGTATTTATTTATTTAAACACATAAATATTGGTACAAAAGGGCACCAGATAAATATGCCCCACACAAATCTCATTTGGTTTGTGTGAGGGTCGTGATACTACCCGAGTGCTCAAACCGAAGCAGGTGGTTTTCTTAGGGGACCACACCCGGAGCCTTCGACCTAACGATCTGATCCAAAAGGTGGTGGAGCAATGTAAGCAGATACATTCCCATGGTAGCCGGTGACCAACGATTGATTCATACGTCATTTGTTCCCTCAAGATACTAGAGCCCATGTGAACCATTGGTTTGTAATCAGGGTTTTCTAACTCCCTTAGGCGAACTTTCCGTGTCCACCAACCCGGTTAAATCGCCGGACATTCGCTTCTCATCCTCTCAATTTCGTAAACAACCCCCCGCCACGAGAAGGCAGTGAGTCGGACTTTCCTGGTAGCGGCTATGTGAGAGCATTTCGAGAGAGAGAGCGGACTCTCCCCACTCTCCGCCGTACGAGGGCATTTGGGGGTATATATCAATATAGTAGAAGAGTTTTCAAATCTACTCATCAAACCAACCGACTAACCATCAAAATATTATTCTGAATATTATCAAAAATTATATGAATTCAATTTGGTGTTCCGATAATGTTAATAAGCAAAAATAAAACAACTGTATGTAATTGTACTAAAATTATTCATCCATAATAAACTAATCCGTATTCATTGTTTCTTTACTGTTTATTCCTCATTATTATATTATTTTTGGCTACTTCTTTTCATAAACTTCTACAAGCACGAATAAGTTCATAGGACTTATTATGTTTATATAAATATAGATAATAATTAATTAGTTACTTTATTCTCTAACCTTTATTATTTTT